TTTAAAGGATTGGTTGTAAGTACAGCAATTCAACGAATGAATAGCGTATCTAATATAGCCATAGATGTGGACAATTTTTTAAGGGATCACTTAAGCAAGCTTATGGTCTATAATATTTTACAATCATAACTTACCGGTGTACCTCGATCTGTGTAATCAGTAATGTTTACATAGTCAGCGACAATAAATGCGATCAAATAGGTCGACATCGTCGGCGTTCTTTCAAACGTAGTCTTCTCCCATCCAGCGCTAGTCTCCGTGGTGCTAATAATAGGCATATTGCACAACGCCAGTCTTGTGTTACGATACTCCAACGCAACGTCGAAAGTGGCCTTCATATCTGGCTCGTCGAAGCACGGAAACGCTCTACGTGCAAATGTCAGTCCCAATTGTGTGCATGCAAGGCGCCTGAAAGGAATTGTATGGTACAATGATGAAACATTGAATTGACTAAACGAGTGGCAATGCATGACATGTAAATTGTATTGTTTTGCTAATATGTCAAATTGTCCCGTTATGTCCCTGTTCAATCTGTCTATTTAGATTCTGATCATAAGTACCCGTTTTGTTCTCTTTTGAAATATCAGTCTAGTTTGTTTATGTCGCACTTGGCGTTTGACTTTTGGTTCGTTCCACTTTTCCATTCAGATTTAGTCACCCATTTTAGTCTCATTTACCGTTGTGATTGAATAATTTGTATATTTTGAATGTACTTTGTTTAAAATGAATTATGAAAGGTACTAGTAATAACATAACACAATTTTGCACATTTCAAACGCATTTATTAGATTGAGCTGATAGGTAGTGAGAATGACACTTAGTCGAATCTATTATGTTTGTAAAAGTTCCCAGAAAAAATTATGAGAACAAAGAGATTTGACCTCAGAATATGTAAATATGTATGCAAAGTCCTGCAATGGAGCATTGTGATTGGTCGGTACTAGCTGTGTTTAAACAGGAGTTGCAATTTAATTTTCAGTTTAAACAATGGGTGCAGTAGAGGGTATATACAGTATACCAATTTCAATCCTAAACCAAAACAATTACAATTTCAATTTAATAAATAATAAATTAAAATGTTAACAGAGTAGAGCCTGTCAAAATTGCTTTCACTGCACACATGGAATCAATTTTACCGTTAAATTCAGTGTATTGCTTCACTTTTCATACAAATACAACTAACAAAGGCACGCTGCGAGAAGACAATATTATTCTAATAGTATAGATAAATACGTTTATCTTAGCACCGATCTATATCGACAGAGCAAATAATTGAATGGACTATGCCCAGTCTGGGTTATTGCTATGACAATTTACCTGTTTTCGCCATTTACGACGTAGTTAGTGTAGTAGTATCCCACATTTGGTGTCTGTGCTAGCGACCCTGTATATGCAACCGACAACATGTAATTCTCGCCTTCTATCATGCTCGACTGTAAATTAAAATGCACAAATGCAAATTCATATTCCCGTTCAATGTCGATATCGTCTGTAGGGTCGCCTCCGCTCTCTGGAGTCAGCGTTGCGGAAATCACAGTTACGCTCTCATGGGCGTGCAGGGTAATAATATCAGTGGATTTTAAGCAATTTATCTGTATTTCTACGGTCCCAGAAAAAGTGTACTGTAAATCACCATCCTCATCGTCGAGATACGTTTTTATATACAAGTTGTAATGTATAGGCAGCAATGTATCTGGCAACCGTCCATAGAACGGCTCCAGCGTGTCCTCGGGTATATCTGGTTCTGGCGGTAATCCCACCGACTGCTCAACCGGCTCCACTTCGTCACACTCGGGTACATAGTATGTGATGAGCACTGCGCAAGTTAACAACAAAGCCACCGCTACGATAATCACAATGCCCGCACATCTAGACACGAAACACCCATGCTTTTGTTTCTTCATTTTGATCGCGCTTTGCAGTGATGAACGATTGACCTTCCTGATAATAATAAACTTGGGTGTTTGTTTTGACCAGGGAGTATCAGGTTAACAAAGTGAATGAATATGATGACTACAAGTGCAACGACATATAGTTGTGAATTATTAACCTTGCTTTTACACTGTTCCTGCAACCGCAGCGTCCTCTTTGGAACATCGCCCACGAGGTGTACAAAAACATTCGTTCAAGGTTACTATTCAAAAGTTTATAATCACACTACTAAATAACATACCGTATAAACCTTGTATGTCTGTTTATTAGTACCAGACAATGTCTGGCCATCACACCTACGCATCGACTCCACGGTGAATAAATACACCAATTGCAATAGGAGCATTCTTGTAACCGTATCCTTGATTGGAATTTGATTTAAAAGTGAAAAAAAAAAAAAAAAAAAAAACGGTTTCAATAATAAAAACAAACAAACAGTAATATATATTTATTTGTTTTTCAAATGTATGAATTGATAGTGGTTCCGCGTATTTACGCACTCTGGTATACTTGTGATCGTATTATAGTCATAGTCGTAAACCGATGATAGATAATCCTAATAATCTTGGTCGTACTAGCCAACCATCAATAGCATCAATAATGCAAACGTGACATCTCGTGTGAGTTCCAGGACATCGAGATACACAAATAGAGAATTGTTAACGGCACATAATCTTGCCTTAAGACCCACTGTCAGGACAAGGAAGAAATCAATTCGATCATCACAGGAATTTAACAACGATGGACATTTGTTACGATCCGACATGTACAGGTATACGAAACACGGCATGGGTACATGTAATCCAAGATATTATGTAAGCAGGTAGAATCAGCAAGCTC